TTGATTTCTCTTGATATGATTGCCCCCGTTAAAGCATAAATTATTTCATATTTTGATTATCTTAAATCACATACTTCAACTGTTGTTCTTCCTGGGAAAAATCTCATGCCATTTTGAATCATACTTAACTAACTCACAAAAAAATATTATTGATCTCATTTAATTGAATGATTGATGTCTCTCCAATTTTTATAAATTGCATTTTAAACTTTACGTATCTAGAAATTCAACAAAACTCCATCAAGAGGCTGAAATACAATATAATGTTCATGGTAGAGAAGAAAATACGATACAGTGTTACACACATATATAATATTACTAATCACTTAAAATATTGTCCATGGTAGAGAAGGAAATCGTCCAAAAAAAAAAGAAAAGAAAAGAAACGTAGCACCCAGATTTCAAGTATTTAATTGAGCAAAATCCTGCAATTCACAGAAACTTTGGGACACGATAGTAATCTTGTCTTCAATTGGAGCTTCGAGTCTAAATCTTCTTGAGCAGGAAAATAAATGGAGATCGTCTTCAAAACACTTGCACTCTTCATAATATATCTTAGAAGTTCAAACTGGCATTTTGTCTCTCCATACTCACACAGACTAAATTTCTGAAGATGTGACCCAAGACACTGAGCTGGAACATCAGCCATTTGGGTCTATCACACTTCTCTTCCAACCAGAAATAGGATCAAGCTAACAAAACATATATATATATATATATATATATGTCAGTTAGAAAACTAGTTAACTAATTGAAATTATTTGTGCCAACACAAATTATGTGTTAAAATCTAACAAACCTTGTGAATGACGAGAGGTTCAAGTTTTGGGAAGCTTCGAAGAAATCCCACTATTTTATTAATGTCATCAGTAACCATATATGACAATTCCAGGTGAGTTAAATCGTAAAATGTTGGAATATCATGGATAGGTAACTGCATGTTCTGCATTAACAATAATTACTGCCAAGATTTTGGATATATCAATCAAAAGAAAATAAAAAAGTTGCAAAATAAATTATCAATTAGTACCTCAGTAAACCGAAGACGTGTCACATTACACAAAGCATCACACTTAAATAAGGGGGTATTTCTGCAGAGACCAATTGTTTAAGTTTCTGGATCTCTATCTTTGGCATCTTAGCTTTATTATGCATATGCAAAAATTTTAGTACCAGATCTTGTAGGAGAGCACTACTAGAAAGGAGTTTTGACATGCATCTAAGATTCAAAAATGTAACATTAACCAAATGCATGACTTTGAGTGAAGGCAAATTAATATAACGATGATTAGGTTTAATGGTGACATGAGTCAGCTTTAAAACTACAATGGAAGAACTATTGAAAATTCGGGTGGTCACATTAAAGAACGCAAAATCTGAACACAGCTCAAGATGAGGAACTTTGCGATTTATTGCAGCGTTAATCCAAATATTAATCTTGAGAGGGGCACTTGTAATTAATCTTGAGCACTTGAGACGAAACATGTTTATGGATTTCTCACAATCTCGTAAGATGAAGATTGTGTCTACAAATTTCATGAAGTAGTCAAGACTGGCGAATTCAAATTCGTCAAAGTCAAGGGTGAGAAGTGAGAAACACAGTGGCCTCCATCTTTTGGACAAAAGGCTTGTGGCAACGGCCTCTTTTGTGGTAGAAAAGAGAGGATATGGTGAAGAAGACGATCTGGTAACTCGCTAATCCGATCGCTCATCATTGGCCTTTCACTTTCTTGTTTATGAAGTGATTTTGCGCCTTTGATTCTTCTGATATATTTGGATTCTGGAAGAACCCTGACTGTTGATCTGCTTTCTTTAACCCTCTGGCAACATCAAGGCTTTTCTTTTTTCGCTTTTGATTCTTGATAATTTCTTGGGAAAATTAGGAAGAATGACATAGAAAAAAATAATATTTATTAATTAAGAAGGATCTTAAAAAAAACTATAATTATTTCTAAGGACCAAACACTAAAATATAAATTTAAAAAACTAAATTACCCTTAATTAAATTCCTACATTTTCTTCCATCAAACCTTTCATTGAATATTTTTCTATAATCTCCTTCATTCTTTATAATCCTTTTCTCTTCAATATTTGCAAAAAAATTTATTAAAATCAAATCAAAATAATTTAATTAATTCAAAATATCTTATATAACTAAACAAAATGAAATTATTTGTTTAGTTTTGTCTTTGTTTTTCTTTGAATTTCAATTGAAATTCTCTCTTTATACAAATATGTCTTCTTTTAAATTCTTTTGTTTTATAAATTATTTGATTATATGTTTTATATTATAATATATTTAAATTTAAGAAATATATTTAAATTGATTTCAATAAATACCATTAGAATTTTTATAAATATTTTTCTTGATTTTAATTTTTTAAAATAACAAAATAATCAAATAAATGACAATTTTCAGATTCATTATTATATCTACAATTTTTCATTCTCTTAATTTTAATAATTTTTTAATTATCCTAACAAGATCAAGAAAAAAACAAAAAATTACAGAAATTGATAAAAAATAAAAATAATATGAAAAAAAATTAAAAATCAATTTGTGCAACTGATTTCTCTGCTTCTTTGTTGATTTATGTGGAAGTGATAGATTTTTAATTTTAATCCAATATCATTAACATATGTATAGGAGCATACGTGAGATATGATTAGAAAAAACTTAGGAATTTAGTTAGGGATAGTTTAATATATTTAAATTTATATTTTAATATTTAGTCCTTCTAGATAATTGTGATTTTTAAAATCCTCTTCAATAAATATTATTTTATCTATTTCCTTCTCATTAATTCTCCCTAATTTCTTCTTAGAACTGGTGGAGGCACTGAGCGCTGGAGAGAAGCCAATAAAAAAATAGATCGAGAATTGAATGAACTGTACATAATCTCTAACACAAATAATCTCGAAACATATACAACATATATATCTTTCCGTTATGATAAAGATTTTTAGTCTCATCAATTTCAGTTTGACAAAATATAGTCTTTGCTCCTCATAATTTTGGTTAACTTGGGGTCAATGTCACTGCAATTTATTTCTCAAATAATTAATTTTTAAAATTATAACAATGACGTTTGATCACAATAGAGATTTTGCCCAACGTTGATAAAATATCTATATTTTTCTTGGCTAAATTGGATTTTTTAAAATTCTATTTGAGGAAACATATAAGGAATCTTCATAAATTACCATCTATATATGAGGGTCCAAAAAATCATAATTGATTTTTTTTTTTCAAATTTTTGATAAGGACGCCTTTATTTAAAGAATTTTCACGGTTTTCACAATTCACACAAGCTTCATTTAATATTTTTCTTTGCCAACCACAAGCTTCATTTATATATACCATATTGCTTGATTAATATATTTTTCCATAATATTGCTTGATTGAGATTTATAATCATACTAACTTTTTGATGTATTTCTGAGTATCATCCAGTCACTTTAGATTTGAAATTAATCCTTATCGCGTTGAGAGCGTTAAGGTTAATACCTTTCCAACAAGTGCGCTTCCTGAGAATCATACTAATTTATTTATTATCATGAAGTTGAATCCTTTTTATGGAAACAAAACAAACGTATAATCTCCCACAGTAGAGCGTTTCTTTTTCTTCTTTTTTTTTTTGGGTCAAACATTTGAGCGTTTCAAAGTTACCATCATTTAAGGGAAAGATAAAGAATCCAGTGAATGGCAGCCAATTCCTAGAAAGGAAACAACCGCATATGGTAGGTTTTTTAAAGATCTATTTGTCAAAGGGTCTATATGTAATCTCTAATTCTCGCTGCTTTTTTTTTAATAACTCACCAACGTACAGGATGGAACCCATTCCCTCACATTGAAGAAAGTCTTAAGGGTGGTTTTTGGTGACTGTAATTACAATTATAGTTTATGAATATAAATTTGACTCATTCAATTAAATGAACAAAATAAATAAGACTGATTTAAATATCTGGCCCCAAAAAGTAGAACTGATTATTCATTACTTGTCTACACCCACCATATTATTTTTGAAAAAGCACATATAATAATATTTGGATATTGAAAATAAAGTATTTTAGATTGAAGAAAGCTCAATTCTAATAAAATTCACAATATTTTCTCCGTCATAGAAGCCACTGTTTTTTTCAGACCTTCTTATATCTGAGTTTTTCAGTTTCATGCTTAAAATTAATTTTGACCATTCACCCACTTTTTTAACGGGTTCTATTTTCTGTTGCTTATCCAAGAGAAGAGAGAAATTAGGGATTTAGTTTCTCCCTCCATTTTCAATCTTAATAATTAGATTAAAATTTAAGCAGTTCAAGTTTAATATAAAACATTTTTAAATATTTTTTATGGCGATTTTGAATGTAGAAGTTTTTCAACTTGAAAAGACTAACTTGGCCGCTACTTAAACAGAACTTCTTAGCAATTTATCAACAAAAAAAAATTGATTGTTGAGACTTGAGACGTATGTTATCATAAATATTGTTACTGTTATTAACAATTAGCTTTACGAAATTTAGTATTGTTATCATAAAAACCCTCAAGATTTAATTATTACCTCCTCGTAATCCATGGATTGTTCTATTAGGAGTGATTATATATGTATTTTAACAAGTATGCGCAATGACATTGCCTCCTTGCATGGCATAAAATTAAGGTCCCTTGAAAGTGGGAGGTTGTAGTTTTAATCCCGCATTTGCACTTATAATCTCATGCTATTAGTACTTATCATAAAGAGTGTGAGAATCACCTGAAAAAGAATATAAATTAAACATGCTTGATTTCAACAACACTCCACTAAATTTCAACCCCCCCCCCCCCAAAAAAAAAAGAAGAGAAAAACAGTAATAGCAAATCAGTTAAGATCATCTCTGGACAACTTTAGTGGAACTCAGAGGCTCCAGGAAATGGTGAGAATCTTTCGAACATTCTGTTATTCTTGTTTGTACGATAGAAGCTGGAAATGAAGATATTCCTCATTGACAAATTCAAACTCATCTCAAGCCCTCGAATCTACCAAGTCTCTGAATTCCTTCAAGTGTGATGAGACACATGGAGGAACTTCCAATATTGGTTCCATCGACCTTCCTTTCCTATGAGGATGAGCAAAAATCTGACCAAGGATATGAAAGAAATCAATGCTACACACATATCATTCAAGTTGAAATTAAGAAATTAACTAACCTGATTCATCACAGGAACTTCATGTTTGGGGCAGCTTCTTAGGCCTTTCACTACCCAATTCAAGTCTTCATCATAAAGACATGAAAATCCTATGCGAGCTAAATTCTCAAACCTTGGAAAATCATCATTGACAGATGATATTTTATCCTACATATGAATGGAGACTAAACTGAATTAATTTGGTAATAGCATTGTATTTAGAATGAAATAAAAAAGACAATATAATATAGATCAGCATCATTATTCATACCGTATTTAACCGAAGAAAAGTCACATTGGAAAATGCTTTCCACTTAATTAGATTGAAAGGAACAGCTGCTGAAACCAAATGTTGAAGCTTTTCAATATCTGATGGTGTACATCCATGAATGTATCTAAATCTAAATCTTATACCAAATCTTGCAGAAGAGGACATCTCGAAAGGAGATTTGCCAAACTTTCAAGATCTGGAAATATAGCCTCCGCCAAATGCATGACTTTAAGCAAAAGGCAAATTAACAGAATAAAAAGTGCTCAATCTAACCCCACCCAACTTTAAAGCCCTAATGGTACCACAGCTAAAAATTCTAGGGGACACTTTTATGTAGAAACTACTGCAGCATAGCTCAAGATGCTCAACTTTTGGATGAATAAGTGTGTTAATCAAAGATTAATCCTAGCGATCCTTTAGCTATCATACCGATACCTAGGCCAATAATTTCGAAGCCGAAAGTTTTCTATGGGTTTCGAATCTGCCATGTAGAGGACTGTCTACAAACAGAAAGAAATTGTCAAGACTATGGAATGATGCATCATCAAAGTCAAAAGTGTTCATTGAAAGCCAAAGGGGCTTCCATCTCTTAGACAAAAGGCTTGTGGCAACAACGAACTTCCTTGGTTGGAAGAAAAGAGGGGATAAGGTGAAGTATAGAGTCTGGTAAACTACTAATCCTGTCTTCCACCCTTGCTTTTCTTCCATGTCGCTTTCTTTGTTCGGACATTGATATTTCCATATTCCAAGTTGGGACTGCGCGTAGCGATCCATTACTCAGCAAGGATGAAGACTATGAAAGAAAGGAAACACTATCATTAGTATTCATAATAATACTATTATTTGCTTTTTCAATTATCTGTAACATCCATAAAAATAAGAGAACACTATTGTTGAAAAATTCCCCATTGCAAAACTGTTACCCGGAAGTTCCAGGTGCAGCCGATATACCGCACACAAAACAAAAATACTTGCACATAGTTGACGATACTGAAACAAAGAGGTCCTTAGGTATTCTGGGTAATAAATTTTGCAAAGAGTAATTTTTAATAATTTTCCCTAAAAATAGAAGAGCTGATCCCAATAAACATTTTTTAGCATAATAGCCAGATTTCATAAGGAGTTTCAAAAGTCAGAAAGAAGTTTACATATCTCTCCAAACGTTGAAAGTTTAAAAAAATTAACATGGAAAATCTTCAATATTTTATTTATTTATCAAAAGGATCAAAGATATAATCACATTTTAAAGGATTTATTACTTGATTTGTTTTTTTTCCCCAAAAAAATTGCATCCAAATTTTAATATCAATATTACTTGATTTTCTGAAATTTAGGTTTAAGATTCGCAAAATTATATTTTTAACAGTATACGATCCAAATATTTTCCCCACACGCGATTACATGAAATTCAACCTGACTTCAGATAGATTTTTTGCAGCGCGGAACCTCTCCATTGCATACCGTCCCCATTGTGCCTCCATTTAATTGAAACGGCATTGTTTGGATTTTTTTTTGGGGAAAAAATGGCAGCTTTCTTTTCCAACCCTGTTCAGCATCCATCCCAAATTTGTTTCGGCCTCTTTTTTTTTTTTTTTTTTTTTTTTTGCAGCTGAGCAAGAAATTCTGGGTTTTGTCTCGAAAAAATTTCCCAAGTCATATGTGAGAAGAAATAATGGAAGAAGTTGCTTAATGGTTCACCTCTTGTGTTTGTTGGTTGCCTCTTCATTTCGTTATATGCATCTGTTTTATAGTTTGTATGCACTCCTTTTAGTTACTTTCATGTTGTTTCTTATGATCGTTTAACCAGGAAAAAGAAGGAATCGTTTCATTTTATATTTATACTTTTGCTTGCCTCTTACATGTTTCATCACCTTTGTCCTGGGTGATTTTCGGATGATTGCCCGATATCAATTTGCCAAATTTGGGATGGACATAAAACGGGACTGGGAAAGAAAGCCGCCAATTCTTGTTCAAAATAAGCAAACGATGCCGGTTCAATTAAATGGTGACGCAATGGAGAGGTTCCTCGCCAGATTTTTTTGAGTGGGGAAAAAGGCAGAAAAGACTAAATCTTAGCTTCGTAGGATTATGGAAAGAGTATTTCAGTGGAGAGTTAAATTACTTTACATTATTGAAGCCTATCCGCTAATCTATTTATCTACGGTAGTATTACTGTATTAGAATTATATGTTTTTGAACGGAAAAATCCCTTTTTTAATAAAAATGAATGGAGAAATCTACATAAGAGAGACGATACGTAGCATTTAAAATGTTCATAACAAATTTCAAATCTCATTTAATTTAAACGATTATTTAATATGACTGATAAGCTACATTTTCAAAATTTGAAATTAGTTTACACTTCTCTTTTATGAATCTCCGTTAAAAGTTTCATGAGGATTATATTTGATTACTCTTGATATTATTGCCGCTGTTAAAACATACATTATTTTAAATTTTGATTATTTTATCAATTTGCAATTTCCCGGTACAAAACTCCCGTATGAATTTTGAATAATGCACAAATAACTTCTTAACTTTTTTTTCCCTAGGTACAAGTATCCTCATATTAGAAACAACATTATTTAAAACACTGTCAAGCACTAAACTTGAACATTTTTCCAATAAGAATTCAAACTTGGTTTATTACATTATGAGGAGATAACTCCTTCCGTTAGACTTGTGTACCCAACTTCTTTGATGACTTCTTAACTTTTAAAACTTAATAATAAACCTCTATTAGGTTTGAAATTTATGTGGACAACTAAGAGTGGAAATAGGCCAGGCCCCATCCTTAATAGGCTAGGCCTGTGGTGAGGCCTTTGGCTTGAGCCTGGCCTGTGACTTGTGAAAGCCTTTTATTTGGCCTAAGCCTAGCCTGACCTGTGACCTATTAAAAAACCCTTGTTCAACTCAAATTATCCAAAATATAAACAAAAAATATGAAATAATGAGGAATAGGAATAGCCGAATGGGAATAACTTGAGTGACCTAGGTTAAATTTTAACACTCGTAAATTTACAATTTTAATCCCAAAAGAATAATAACAGGCCTAGATTACCTGACAGGCCTCATAAGCTTATTATCAAGCTTGACTAGCCTAATAAGATAGATAGGCCCTTTTGTAGGCCTAAGCCTGCTCTTGTATTTAAATAGGTCAAGCCAAGCCAGGCTAGACCAAGCCATTTACAAGCCAAGCGACAAGCCCCTGGCAGGCTGCCTGGCCTAGGTTCACCTCTACCGACGACTTCCAAATATCAATTACATGGCCAATTAAACTTTATTTTTGGTGCACATTTTTAATAAAACTAATTAATAACTAATCATGTTTTAGACATAACTGAGGGGCTCCAATTAATTTGGATGTCTAACCCTATACTGCATTGAATCTAATCAAAACACTTGCCACGCCCTTTTCATGACATGATTGGAGATGCTCACAATATTATTAATTATTGTCTAGAGAATTAAAGTATATCTAGTACCCTAAAATATTATTAATAAGGTCATAAAAGGATTTTTTTTAAACATATAAGTTATTGTTCGCAGGGCAAGTGCACGGGTCGTGACAAGTAATAAGGTGATAAGAAAAGATCATTCCCACGGAGATTTGTGTAAAAATCAAGACCAAACAAAGGCTAAGTGAATTTAGTTAAGTTGAGCCAACCAATTCTTTTGATGGGAAAAGTGAATTTTGAAAACAGCTTTTAAAACTAGAAAGTAATAAAAGTAATTGATTCTTAAACTTCAAAGGGTAAGAGGGCCTTGGATTTAGGGGTGAGTATTCGGTTATTTGGTTCGGTTAGTGCAAATAACCGAAATAACCGAATAACCGAACATAACATGATTTCAACACCGAACCGAAACCAAACATAGTGAGGTAACTGAACCAAAATAACTGAAAATATTTCGGTTTGGTTAGTGAACTTATTCGGTTATTGGGCTTTTTTAATAGTATGTCTATTATGACCCAACCAAACTAGGCCCAATTAAGATCTTTTTTTTTTGGTGAATTTCATTAAAATATTTGCCTCTTTTTTATGTTTTTGCACAGCCCATTAAAATATTTGTCTCTACCCATTATTGTAGTGGGTCATTGAAGAGGGAATTTGAAAAAAGAACCACACATACGTTCTAATGAAAAAAAGACAAATAAAACTACAAACAGTGAAGTAGATAGCCTCGCCTCATTTTTGAGAATTGATTTGGATGTGCTTCATCAGAAGCTCAGTGCATACTCATCTTTTTTTAGTGCTCCTCCTGTCCTCCATACGCCACTACCCAATTGCATCTCACAAATCCTAGATCCCCCATTCCCGATTTTATGCATGTTACTTACATATCATATTTTAAACATAAATACATAATAGTAAAATAAAGGAACATAACAAGCCTCACGCCGCCAGCAACACCGCCATGACTCCCAACTGACGCTTGCAGCCATTCACCTTCCACTTCATCTCATATCTTTTAGCTATTGAACTCTTGTTAAGAAGCCACTTGAAACCCTTGGCTGTCTCTATTCTGAAGATGATGGAAAATGCGACGAGAAACAGGCCTGAAAAACGCATCCATTTTTCATGTTGGGGTTAACAAAATGCGGCTGGGAAAAAGGGCTTTCAAGATGAAAATGCTATGCCTATATTTTACCTATAAAAAAGCCAAGCGCTGCGAAAAGCCAATGCCCAGAAACACTAAGTTCCAGCATCTTCTAATTCCAGCCGCTGAAAGTTGTGAGGCTTCCTAAGTAACCAGTTGATATTGCTATGGCTAGATGCTCTGACATGCGTGATATGTCTCCTTTGAATACAACACCAAACCATCCCATAAGAAAATAACCCACCTGGAAGAATATATGTACAGCATTTGCATCAGCAAATCATGTTCATTAAGTCAACATGAACTTAAGTGCCACTCATTTAACAGCAAGGTTAAGGCTTCTATGAGATTGGCCATATTTAAGCAATTCTACGCTGATTACCAATTGTGCAACTCTAGTAGTTGCCGCTTAGGAAAAATAAAAGTAGTATCATTTTTCGGTTTTTCCCGTCTTCAGTAGATAGAAATATTTCTACTTAAAAAAAAAAATAGCTTGGCTCATTCCTCATTCACTTCGAGCCAAAGCAGAAAAAAACAAATCCAAATAAGTAGCCAACCTAGATGAATCTAGTCTCTCAGTGACTTCCTTCATATAAGCTGGTAAGGCGGATACAGAGGCCATTATAATCTCTAGATGTTCTTATCAAATCAAAGATAGCAGCTAAAAGAACAATGGAGAGTGAATATTACGAAGTTGAAAACTCAAAATGTGCTATCTTTACATCTATCTAAAGGAACATATAATTATCTTTTAAGAAATTAAAGCTTGAAATAGAGGAAGCTTCGGTCACCGTCACATATTCCACAAAACAGATCAGTAATGACAGACTCATCTCTCACTGATGCATATAAGGCTGTATCCCTGTCGGAGAGTGGAGAGGACACCGGACAGCCGGAGCACCGAAGGCTTTACAGAATCACAGGGGTGGCAGAGAGCCAGAGACGAAGCAGGGGCGATGTCGGATTACCCTGAAGTCTGAAGCCACAAACCAGATGCGAGGTAATGACGGCAAGTCAGCAACTGGCGACGGTTGAGCTCGGTCTCGGAGAATGCAAGAAGCTCAGTGAGAAAGAAGGAGAGGACACGGCGCCACTGCGATGTGCGATCTAGGGCAAGAGCGCGAGAGACACTGAGACAAAGTCACTGAGAGAGAGAGTCTGTGAAGTCAGAAGTGTGAACAGTGTTGCGTGTGTGATTGCGTGGTGACTGGTGAGTCATGAGTGAGTGCGATGCGTTGCGTTTTGGCCTTTGGGTCTGGGAGTGAGGGAGGGACCGAAATATTTTTGAAAAAGAGAGGGAAATAAAAAATAGTAAAAAAAAGGATAAAAAAAAAGAAGTTATATTCGGTTATTCGGTTATAACCGAAATTTCTTTATACACACCGAACCGAACCCCGAAAACCGAAAAAACCGAAAAAAAATAACCGAAAAAAAATAAAAACTAAATTAACCGAACCGAAAAACCGAATTAATTTCGGTTCAGTTTGGTTTTCGGTTACAGTTCGGTTTTGCTCACCCCTACCTGGATTATTCATCCCCCTTGTATTTCATAACCTTTGAATTATCTCCTCTTATAAATATGCTGAAAATATGTGTTAGTCTAGGATTCAAAAAGTACTTGTAAAAGCTTTCCCTAGTCAAGCACAAGTATTTAATTCCATTAATTGCTCAATCTCTTGTTACAATTACTAAAACCCAATTTTTAAGCTTCAATCCTAAAATGAATATGCAAGGTTTGGTAAGTATATCTCTATCTTGCCAACAAAACTATCTATTCAACAAGCAAACTTCAAATTCTTGCACAATTTTACCCAAGTTCTACACGTAACCTAACCTTCTTAAGTATCAATCAAATGAATAAAGCAACTAAATGGTGATCAAGCATTTAGAAGCATTAAGAAAAGAGTAAAATAAACACATATATGTCATTAATCCCAAAAAGAGAGGAGCAATCAAAAGTTAATCCATACAAGGGTTTAAAATAATCCTATAACAATGTATTTAGCTACTCATAGTTAGCTACAAGCCATAAATATAAAGGAAATTCAGCAGATTACAAGAGAGGGAATGGAGGAGAAATAGAAAAACCAAGATGAAGCCCCAAGTCTCTTCCAAAACTCAATCCCTTGCTTCCAACTCTTCAAACACCCAAACCTTAGCACAAAAAGCTCCCAAGAATGCCCAAGAAGTGCCGAATACTGTCCAAGGTTGAAAATGTGGTCTTAAAACCTGAAATTTTTTGGTTTAGTTGAGATGTGTATTTGTTGTCAGCAAGTGGGCCGCGGCTTAATTTTTATGTGCTGCGGCCAACTTTTTCTCCGTTTCAGTTGGGCTGCAGCCAAGTTAGGGTGCATTGTGGCTCAATTTGCTTTTGAAAAATTGAACTCTTCCACATCAAACAAGGATCTCTACCAATGTTGTGGCTTCTAATGATTCTTCTTTGTTCTCATAATGCCTACGTGACACAACCTAAATCCTCGAACCCTTTGAATAACTCTATAAGCTCATAAATAGCAAAGATTAAAGCCAAAATATGCACACTTAAGCAATAATGTGCAAACCAAAAACATCATGCACATTTTCCTACCCTTGAGTATGAAAGTATGCACTAATGCACCCAAAAGTATCAAAAGCTTAAGGAAAATGTGCTGAAATTACATAAAGATCTAGTGGTTAAGAGTTACTCCTTGGTACTTGTCCAAAACGTGTGAAAGATTGACTAGGTAACCTTAATTAAACAATACTCCACTATAGTCATACTAACTATTGGGCGATACTCTTCAGGTTCTAAATATAAGACCCTTTTTGTAGTGTAATTTACACTACAAAAAGGGTTTTATATTTAAAACTGGAGGAGTATGTTATAAAAAATATCATTGGAGCTCTATTACTGAAAATAAACAGAATGAAAATCATCTCAAAAAGAACAAAAGCATGACTTAGACAATAAAACTACATCTGAAGACTTCATTTAAATGAGAGCCTGCAATGCTCAGAGACTCTAGGACAAAAGGCCAGCTCCTCGAGATATTCGTATTTGTCCTTTTCATCCATATGACTGCAGCAGAAAATGGAAATGCTCCTCAAAACTCTTGCATTCTCCATAATATATCTTGCAACTTCAAACTCACATTCCCAGCCTTTGTATTTTGTAAGAGTGAATTCCCTTAGGTGTGAAGAAAGACATTGAGGAACATCCTGTGTTGGTTCCATCAACTCTTCCTCCACATCAGGATCAACATAAATCTGAGCACAAATATGAAAGTTAGAAACTAACCACAGAAAAAAGGAAATAATGTTCACAAAATCAATTTGAAATTAAGAAGCTAACCTCATAAATCACAAGAATTTCAAGCTTGGGACAGCTTCGCAGACATCCCATTATCCAGTTCAAGTGTTCATTATTGACACGTGAAATTTCTAAATGGGTTAAATTGTCATATACTGGCATATCACGTACAGGTGACTCGTCCTACATATTAGGAAGACCAAGCTTAATTGGTTATAAAATCTTAGAATGAAAAGCGGTAATGTAAAATAGCATCATTCATGATACCCCATTTAAACGCAGAAATGCCACGTTAGTTAAAGCTTCTGAAGAAATTAGAAAGGAAGGAACAGCTGCTGAAACCAAGTGTTCAAGCTTTTCAATATTCACAGTGAAATCTTTTTCTTCCTCTTCATCCTCGTCTTCGTTATCTATCCTCGGATCTAATATCAATTCTTCGAGAAGAGGACAACCAGAGAGAAGATTTACCACACTTTCATAATCTGGAAGTTCAACTTCCACCAAATGCATGACTTTAAGTGAAGGTAAGTTAACAGAATGAAAAGAATTCATCACTCTAACTTTATTCAGCTTCAAAACCCTAAGGGTATCAGAGTTGAAAATTCTCGAGGTGACTTCAATGGAGGACACATAAGAGCATAGTTCAAGATGTTGAACTCTGCGATATATAAGCGTGTTAATCCAAATATTAATCTTAATGACCCTTGATCTGTTATGCAAAAAGCTAAATCTCGCACGAAACTTTTCTATTGGTTTCGAATCTGCAAAGAAGAGGACTGCGTCTACAAACTGAAAGAAATCATCAAGACTGGCGAATCTTTCATCTTCAAAATCAAAAGTGCTCATTTTAAGCCAAAGTGATTTCCATCTCTTGGACAAGAGGCTTGTGGCAACAACCTGATCTGTTGGAAGAAAAGAAAGAATGTTATGAAGCATAGAGTCTGGTAAACTACTGATCCTATCTCCCACCGTTCCTCTTCTTCCATGTCGTTTTCTTTCTTTCGACGCTGCCTTTGCCATATTCGGAGCCAGACGTGGCCTCCTTTACTTACCAGGGAAGGATGAAAACTAGGGCTTTTTCAAAGGGAAGGGATTGAGAAGCGCAGAAAACTATCTTCAACTAAATACAGAATAAAAACATTTTTGCATATAGTTAAAGGAAGACGTCAATATATTTGGATCATATAATCTTATAAATATAATTTTAAAAATCTTAACACCAAATTTCCGAAAATCAAATTTACACAAAATGTAAAGTTTTTAAAATTTGGTTGCAATTATTTTGAAAAATATAACAATAGATCCTTTGAAGATGTAAATTTTAATTTCTTAAGAAACTCCTTATGAAATATGATTATTATGTAAACACATATAATATTATGTTAAAGGATGTTTATTGAGGATCAGTTCTATTTCTAAGAAAATTGTTTCAAGAAAAAATCCCTCAAAAGTAACTTTTAAAGTTTCTGTTAATTTTGACATAGCATCCAGGTTTCATATATTTCCTTTGACAAAAGAAAATAGAAGAGAACAAATCTTTGTAGGCAATACAAAGAATATTTCAGTACAGAGAAATCTACTTAGAGATGATATGTGACACTCAAAATGTGGACAAAATTTTTGAAATCTCATTTAATTTAGACGATTAGTTATATCAAACATGATTGATAAGCTATATCAGCATTTCCAAAATTTCGAAATTTGTTTATTGATCTCCTTTATGAATCTCCGTTAAAAGTTTCAATGAGAATTTGATTATTTTAAATTTTAATTATTTTATCAATTTACAATTTCCCTTGCCTATCATAAAAGCTAATTTTAATTTTGAGGCTAAATTATACAACTCCTATGAAGTTTGAATCATGTACAAATAACTTCTTAGCTTCTAAAACTTAATAACAAATATCTACCAGCTTTGAAATTTGGAAAAACGACAGAAAAAAGCCTCAAATTGCAATTTTTAATTTAGGAAGCTAAGGGTTCAACATGACAGAGAGAAAAGTTCAAACTAACATTTTAAAACTCAAAAGAAATGACAAAAATACCATTCTATTTTTTATCTTAAAAAAGGTTTAACCCCTCATTAGAGACCACATCGGGTTTTTTTTTTGTAGGATTTTTTTTTCCATGAAAAATTATTTGAGAAAAATGGTGTGGATGGGATTTGATCCCACCACCACATGGTCATTTGGGCCAATAAAAAAAAAGTGACCATTAGACCACCAATTATTGTTAATATTATAATGCAAAAAAAAAAAAAATACAAGTTAACTTCTTTACTTCGGCTCCAGCTCGAGACAGTAATTTATTTGAGAATGACAAGTCTGAACTTGATACTAACAGTGTGTTTTTCCTGATACATAACAGGAAATAACATGTGATTAATTAAAAATGATATTGTTAGTCCCAAGTCTAGATTTGTCATTTCACAATCAAAATTTGTCATTCTCAGATAAATTATTGTCATTTTTAATTAATTTACATGTTGTTTCATGTTATGTATCAAGAAAAAATACTTGTTAATCTCAAATTTAAACTTATTATTTTTCAATTAAGACTTATCAATCCTAGGTAAATTGTTGTTTATTTTAATTAATTCACATGTTATTTCAAGTTATGTATCAGGAAAAAAAAGGTTTTTAATCTCAAGTTTAGACTTGTTATTCCTAAATAAATTGTTGTCATGAGCTAGAGTTAGAGAAAAAGAGTTAGCTATATATATATATATATATATATATATATATATATATTTGTATTATAATATTAAAAAATCATTGGTGGCCTAATGGTTCCCTATCTTTTAATTAATTCACATGTTATGTCAAGTTATGTATCAGCAAAAAAAGGTTTTTTTAATCTAAAATTTAGGCTTATAATTTTTTAATCAAAACTTGTCACTCCTAGATAAATTGTTGTCATGAGCTAGAGCCAGAGTAAAAGAGTTAGCTTATATATACATATTTGTATTGTAATATTTAAAAAATCATTGGTGGCCTAATGGTTACTTATCTTTTTGGTTGGCCTAAATGATCATGGGATGGTGAGATCAAATTCCATCCCAACTACTTTCTTTAAATAAGTTTTCTTGGCCAGAAAAAAATCCTGCCATGACAAAAAAATCTGCCTGTAGCCACCATGTCGGTGGCTGTTGCGCGCGGCGAGGGATTGAACATTTTTAAAAATAATAAAAGTTAATACAAATTTTAGTCCTCTAAATTTATCCTTATTTTGGTTTGGATTTGTTAAGTTTCAAATCATAAGTTTTGGTCTTTCAAATTTATTTTTATTTAAAACATTAGTCTCTATAATCCAATAAAAATTTGAACCATTTTGCCCCTTAAGAAACCAAAACTTATAGTTTAAAATTTGAAGGATTAAAACTAAAATGAGAGCAAATTTAAAGGACTAAAAATTATATTAAAAAAAAATATATGAGCATTTTTGTCATTTTTCTTGAATTTCAAAATTTTAGTTTGAGTCTATTTCCTTCCCTGTTATTTCTAACTTTTAGCTTCCTAAATTGGGAAATCACAATTTCAAGCTTTTTTTGGTCATTTTCCCTGGAAATTTATGCGGATGACCTCTGAATATCAATCATATAGCCCATTAATCTTTATTTTGTGTGCATATTTGATAGGTAGATAATTACGCTGAATTTAATTTGTTTGCAATGAAGTAATGTACAAAATTAATCATACTACTGGAGTTATCTACATAAATATAAGAATTTAAGTGATTTATTGTAAAATTTCAAAGATTATGCAGATTATCGGGACATGATCCCAAATTCACAACAGTTATTCATAATTTGACTTGATTTTGATTCAAAATTATTGTGATTATCACATATGTAAATTTGACCTGAAAATTTAAAATAGTATTTATATTGCTTCCCGCCATTAAAAATGTTAACGATCAATATTACTATTTTAATAGTCAACATTAATTATTTAACAGTAGCGAATAATATTACTATAATTTTCAGAACAAGCTCACATACACAAAAAAAATTTGAATACCCAGACTTTCAAGATAAATTTACACTTTTAACTTTAATTTAAATATGGAGCCGGTTCTAATCTAAAGAGAGCGTGTCAAAGCCTGAACAACCAATATAAAACTCCATCAAATATTTACATTAAAGGTCAAAAATATTGCTTACTACTTCACCATATAGAAACAATTTGGTCCTCTTGCGACTTTCCCTTCACGTTTTCTTCTTAGTTGTGCATAGGTTGCTTCATCTTTCATTCATTTTTTTTTTCTTTTTTTGATTCAACATAGTAACAAATACAGAAGACCCATTCGTTCACCTTACATTCTTTTGACGCTTGCTTCTCTGTTGCTCTATCCTCTCTTCCCACCAAGGCAACAGAAATCAGACAAAATTCTGAATGTTGCAGAGCCATGAGGGCACTAGCATAGTCTTTTGATCATTTGTTGAGGAATGAATAGCCATATTTTTGTGGGAGATACCAGGTTTAACAAACTATTTACAAACCAATCGTCCTCAGATACCGAATGGTTCTAAGCACCTTCAATGCAAGACTAGGCAGCCCTAAACCCTAAACCCTAAACAGTACTGCACTTGAATAGAAATCAACCCAAAAAAGAACAGAAGCAGGATTTAAACAATATCACTGCATCTGAAGACCTCAGTTAAATAAAAGCCTGCAATGCTGAGAACCTCTAGGACACTAGGCTAAGTCAGTGAGATATTCGTATCTTTCTTCTGGATCTATACAAATGCTGCAGCAAATGGAAATGGTCCTCAAAAATCTTGCATTCTCCGTAATGTATCTTGCAATTTCAAACTCACATTCCCAGCCTTCGTATTCTCGAAGAGTGAATTCCTTTAGGTGTGATGCAAAACATTGAGGAACATCCAGTGATGGTTCCATCAACGCTCCCTCCCCATCAGGATCAACATAAATCTGAGCACAAATATGAAAGTTAGAAATTGACCACAGAAAGGGTAATCAATCAAGTTGAAATTAAGAAAATAACCTCATCAATCACAACAATTTCAAGCCTGGGGCAGCTTCGTGGACATTCCACTATCCAATTCAAGTGTTCATCATCAAGAAATGGAATTTCTAAAGGCGTTAAATTGTCATATGTAGGAATATCACGTACAGGTGACTTGTCCTACATCTTAAGAAGAACAAGCGTAATTGGTTATAAAATTATAGAACGAAAAGCGATAATGTAAATCAGCATCATTCATACCACATTTAACTGCAGGAGCGTCACGTTAGTCAAAGCTTTTGAAGCAATTACAAAGGATGGAACATTTGCTGAAGCCAAATGTTCAAGCTTTTCAATATTCACAGTGAAATCTTCATCATCGTCGCCATCACCATCATCATCTTCATTGTCGTCATCATCATCAAACCTCATATCTAATAATAACAACTCTTCAAGAAGAGCACAACCCCAGAGAAGATTTGCCAAACATTTATAATCTGGAGATTTAACTTTCATCAAATGCATGACTTTAAGCGAAGGCAACTTAACAGAAGAAGGAATATTCAGTCCGACCCAATCCAACTTTAAAACCCTAATGGTACTACTGTTGAACATGCTTGAGGGCGTTACAACACACTCATCATAGTCAAGAGCATAGCTCAAAATGCTTAACTTTGCGATTTATAGCCGTGTTAATCCAAATACTAATCTTAGTGGAGGGAACCCTTTACGGTTGAGCCTTTTACCTTTTTGTCGTACGCAAAATCTATGACACTCAAGCCGAAACTTTTCTATAGGTTTCCAATCTGCCATTAACAGGACTGCATCTGCAAACTGAATGAAGGAGTCCAGACTAGAACTTCCTCAAGGTTTAAAGTCAAAAGTGAGCATTGAATGCCAAAGTGATCCCCACCTCTTGGACAAAAGGCTTGTGGCAACAACTTCTCTTGTGGGGAGAAAAGATAAGATATGATGAAGTAGAGAGTATGGTAAGCTACCAATCCTATCACTCACAATTACTTCACTTCCACTTTCTCGTTGCTTGGACACTG